AGATCCTGAGGATCTCACTGCCTGTCCTAGCTGTCTATTCCTGCCCTTGACAGCCCTGTGTCTCATTTGATGGTGGACACCTGTCTAATGCAGGTATAAACTGATAAACCTTCCCTCTCCATTTGGAGTGGGAATATGGAGTCTCCTATGGCAATTCTGTGGGGGTGGGCTTTGGGAGACTTTTATGTAGGCATTTCTAGGCATTTTTGCCTTGTTTAAAGTGTGGCTTACTTTCCTGTTCTGTGCATGTTATTATGCATTACCGACAAGTGACATAACCTTTCCTTTTGGAACACCCTCTTGCAAATATCAACCACACAAGACATGTACATTTGTGGCAGACTTAAATGTGTAGGGATGCAGTGAGGTTTTGCTTAGCCTGATTGTTCCATTTGTGACTTCCACTTCCTTGCCATCCCTGCCCTACTGCAGTCCCCAACTGCAGACTCTGCCCAGATGTAATTCAGCAAACATTTTAAAATATCAAATTATCTCTCTACTGCTGTCTTAACTATGGTCCTTGTGCTTCTTTCAAGTACAGATCATCTAGTCGCTATCCTTGTTTGTGAAGTTATCCTCTCCTTCACCAGTCTTTTAAGAGGAAGAGGAGCAATGTGGAAATCTATTTCACCACTAGAGTGATATCATATCAGAAGACAGAAATATATATTTTTATAATTACATGGCATTTGTTTTTGTCTATGGGTTTGCTTATTTTGCAAACAAACCCACATGGTTTACTTGCCAGTCTTCTTGTGTTTTTCAGATGGTGAGCCTGTGGATCCTTATCTCATCCAAGAGTTCTTCCTGGCCACTTCAGGCCATGTTAAACAACTTGGAATGCTAGCGTAATTACCAGCAGTGTCTGAGGGAGACATCCCATAGGCTGTTGGTTTTCCAGACTCATGTTTTCAGAGAAAAGGCAATAGTTTTTTTTATGATAAAGCAGTTCTTAAAAAATTGCCTTCTTCTGATGGTTTTTAACTGTTCTGTGGTGGAACTGTTGCATACTTTATAAAGTTTCCTTTACAACTGGGGAACATGGAGACCAACTTTAATGTTGATTGTTAAGGCCATTGCACTTACAAAATTTAGCTAGCTATTAAATAATGTTTCTTCTCTCTTTCTAATTCACAAGGGATTAGAATTTATTTCTTTTGCAATATAATTTTAATTAGACTGAAAATTCAATCATCTGACTAACTCTTCCCCTGTCATTTAAAATTGTTTGCAACCTTGAATGGAAAAATTAAAAATGAGACCAGATAAGCATGTGCATTTTTATTCAGATAAGACTACCCACAATGGATTTAATCATTTAGCCAGTTTCAATAATAATGGCAGTAAAAACTACTATAGTCTATTGAACAGTCACCTAGTCAGCTGTTGAATTTTACATGTCTTATATTCATCCCATTCTCTGAGTAGCAATTCAATGAGATGAGCATCACATCTTAAAGGCAAGAATAGGCTTTGGTAAGTTAAAGAAACTTTGTATGTTAAGATAAAATTAACTTGTTGGTGCTGTAGCTGAGATTTGCACCTACAGTTCATCCATCTGGGCAGCCTATCATCTTCACAGTGCTTAGAGCTTCTAGAATAGAACCCTGGCACTGCTGTTGTATACTCAAGTATCACATGTATATTTTTGAGCACTTTAATCATTAAGTCTTTCTGATTTTAACAGATAATGTTGCTATTACATGTCATGCACAAATAGGAGACATATGTTTGGCCCCCATTCATCCTGTGTCTATTACTTACATACTGAAAAGAAATCAGCTCGTTGCGTTTTCTTTGGGAGTGACTGGAATTGATCTCCGCCCTTTTTTGTGTGTGATCATCTTAAAAATGTATCTATTACTATGGAATTTTCTGCAGTCGCTTCTTAAGGTTGAATACACAGTTGATGGGAAATATCTTTTAATCTACATACAAAGACACAAGTTTACCCCAGTGAAATTCAGATATAGACTGTTGCTAATGCAAAATGAAACTTTTTCCTCTGGAATTTGGCAGACTTTTGGATCCAGGAGGAGGAGGAGGAGGGGTGTATAAACGGGTGGGAGATTGAGGAAACATGAAATTGCTTTAGAAATGTAAGCAATTGATTAAAAAGTAAGCATAGATGCTTATGTTACAGAGCTTTGTAACTTTGCCTCACTAATGTTAACATTGGCCTTTATAAAATGATGGAATTTAGTGTTCTTTTCTTTACAAAGAAAACTGTACTGACAGAAAATAGAATTTTCCATGGGACAGTAAAAACAATATATATATATATGATTACAATTCTCAGTTTTTGGTTATACTTTATTCATTTAATTCTCTTTGAGAAAGCTTAGTACATAAGCATACAAAGTCTCTAACCAGATTGTTAACTTAAAAAATCGTTTTCCAGCTGGGTGAGGTGGCTCATGCCTATAATCCCAGCACTTTGGATGGCTGTGATGGGCAGATCACTTGAGCCCAGGAGTTTGTGACTAGCCTGTGTACCATGGTGCAACCCCATTTCTAGTAAAAATATAGATATTAGCGGATGGTGTGGTATGCGCCTGTAGTCCCAGCTACTTGGGAAGCTGAGACAAGGGAATCACTTAAGCCTGGAGGCTGAGGCTACAGTAAGCCAAGATCATGCCACTAGTCTTCAGCCTGGGTGACAGAGCAAGACCTTGTCTGAAAATAAAGAGGGGTGTTCACACTTAAGAGTTACAAAAGGATTCATGGCAAAGTTGTGCTGAAAAGTAGATCTCTTTTTGTATTGAAAATATAATCTTTAGAAACTGGATTTATATTAATTTAGCAACAAACCTGAATAATATCAATTAATAATATCAGTTAACAGGCACAGGCATACCTTGGAAACATTGTGGGTTTGTCTCCAGACTACTTCAACAAAGCAAATATTGCAATAAAGTGAGTCACACACATTTTTAGTTTACCGGTGCATATAAAATTTACATTTATACTACCTGGTAGTTGATTAAGTACACAATAGCATTATGTCTTAAAAGAACAATGTACGTACCTTAATTTAAAAAACGTTTTTGCTGAACAATCCTAGTGATTATCTGAGCTTTCAGCAAGTCATAATCTTTTAGGCTGGTGGAGGGTCTTACCTCAATGTTGATGGCTGCTGACTGATCAGAATGATGGTTGCTGAAGGTTGGGATGGCTGTGGCAATTTCTTACAAAAGTCAACAATGAAGTTTGCCCCATCGGTGGACTCTACTTTTCATGAAAGATTTCTCTGTAGCATGTGATGCTGTCTAATAGCATTTTATCCAGAGTAGAACTTCTTTCACAATTGGAGTCAATCCTCTGAAACTCTGCCACTGATTTACCAAATAAATTTATATAGTATTCTACATTTTTGGTGTTCATTACAGCAATCTTCATGGCATCTTTATCAGAAGACAACCCATGTTCTTTGCTTATCCATTAGAAGCAATGTCTCATCCACTCATGTTTTATCCTGAGATTGCAGAAATTCATTTGTATCTTTAGGCTTTACTTCTAATTACAGTTCTCTTCTTGTTTTCACCATGTCTGCACTTACTGTCTTTATGGAAGTCCTGAACCCCCTCAAAGTCATCTGTGAGAGTGGGAATCAACTTCTTCCAAACTCCCATTATAATTTTTCTTTTGACCTTCTCCTATGAATCCCGAATTTCCTTAATGATATCTAGAATAATAAATCCTTTCCGGAGCTTTTCAATTTACTTTGCCCAGATCCATCAGATGAATAACTGTGTCAGCTATAGCCTTACAAAATGTATTTCTTAAATAATAATAATACTTGACAGTCATAATTACTCCTTGATCCATGGGCTACAGAATGAATATTGTATTAGCAGGCATGTAAACATTAATCTTTTTGTACATCTTCATCAGACCTCGTCTGTCAATGAACAGTAATATTTTTAATTTTAATATTTAAAAGAATTTTTTTTCTGAGTAGTAAGTCTCAACAGTGGGCTTAAAATATTCAGCAAATCTTACTGCAAACACATATACTGTCATCCAGACTTTGTTACATTTATAGATAACAGGCAGAGTAGATTTAGCATAATTCTTGAGGATCCTAGGATTTGGGGAATGGTAAATGAGCATTGACTTCAACTTGTAGTCACCAGCTGTGTTAACCCCTATTAAGAGCATCAGTCTGTCTTTGAAAGCTTTGAAGTCAGACATTGACTTCTCTTTTCTAGCTATGAAAGTTCTAGATGACATCTTTTTTTCCAGCAGAAGGCTGTTTTGTCTACATTGAAAATCCATTGTTTAGTGTAGTCACGTTCATCAGTTTTTTTAGCTAGATCTTCTGGATAACTTGTTACAGCTTCTACATCAGCTCTTGCAGCTTCACCTTGCATTTTAAAGTTATGGAGATGGCATCTTTTCTTAAACTTTATCAACCTGTGTCTCTTACCCTTCAACTTTTCTTCTTTAGCTTCCTTACCTCTCTCAACCTTCAGAAAATTGAAGAGTCAGGGCTTTGCTCTGGATTAGGCTTTGGCTTAAGAGAATGTTGTGGCTTGTTTGATTTTTCTATTCAGACCACTAAAACTTTCTTCATCTCACCAGTAAGGCTTGTATTAGTTTGTTCTCACACTGCTATAAAGAAATACCTGAGACTGAGTAATTTATAAAGAAAAGAGGTTTCATTGACTCATGATTCCACAGCTTGTATAGGAAGTATGGTGGCATCTCCTTCTGGGGAGGCCTTGAAGCTTTTACTCATGGTGGAAGGCCAAGTGGGAGCAGGCATCTTATCTGACAGGAGCAGGATGAAGAGAGCAAAAGAAGCAGAGATACTGCTCACTTTTAAACAACCATATTTCACAAGAACTCATCACTATCATGATGACAGTACCAAGGAGGATGCTATTAAACCATCCACCCAGTGATCCAATTGCCTCCCACCAGGCCTCACCTCTAACATTGGAGATTACAGTTTGACATGAGGTTTTGTCAGGACACAGATTTAAACCATATCTTACCTTCCCTGGCCCCCCAGATCTCATGTCCTTCTCGCATTGCAAAATACAGTCATGCCTTCCCAACTGTCCTCCAAAGTCTTAACTCATTACGGCATAAACTCAGAAGTCCAAAGTCCCGGGTCTCATTTGAGACAAGGCAAGTCCCTTTTGCCCATGAGCCTGTAAAATCAAAAACAAGTTCATTACTTCCAAGATACAATGAAGGTATAGGCATTAGGTAAAATACTCAAGTTCTAAAAGGGGGGAAACAGCTGAAAGAGGTTGGTGGGGGGGGGCTACAGGACTTATGCAAGTCAGAAACCCAACAGGACAGTCATTAAATCTTAAAGCTCCAGAATAATCTCCTTTGACTTTATATCCCACATCCAGGGCACACTGGCATGAGGGGTGGGGTCCCAAGGTCTTGGGCAGCTCTATGCCTGTGGCCTTGTGGGGTTTAGCTCCTGTGGCTGCTGTCATGGGCTGGCCTTGAGTGCCTATGGCTTTTGCAGTACAGGGTGCAAGTTGCCAGTGGTTTACAATTCCAGGGTTGAGAGAATGGTGGTCTTCTTCTAACAGCTCCACTAGGCAGTGCCCCAGTGGGGACTCTGTGGGAGTTCCAACTCAACATTTCTCCTTCACACTACCCTCTTAGGGGTTCTCAGTAAGGGCTCTGTACCTGTAGAGGCTTCTGCCTGGACATCCAGGCTTTTTCATATATCCTCTGATATCTAGGTAGAGGCTATCAAGCCTCAGTCTTTCATTCTGTGTACCTACAAGCTTAGCACAATGTGGAAGCCACCAATACATTTAGCCTGCACCTTCTGAAGCAGAGTCTTGAGTGGCACCTGGGTTCCTTTGAGTCAGGACTGCAGCTGGAGCAGCTAGGATACTGGGAGCAATGTCCTGGGGCTGTGCAGGGTGGTGGGGCCGTTGACCTGGTTCAGGAAACCATTTTGTCCTCCTAAGCCTCCCTGCCTATGATGCGAGATTATGTAAATTCCTGTAGCCTGCTTGAATTCCTCCTTTGAAAGGGGCTTTTATTTTCTAACACATGACCAGGCTGCAATTTTTTCCTAACTTTAATGCTGTGATTCCCTTTTAAATATAAGCACCATTTTCAGGTAATCTCTTTGCTCATGCATATGAGCAGAGGTTATTAGAAGCAGCCAAGTTATATCTTGAATGTTTTGCTGCTTAGAAATTTTTTCTACCAGGTACTCTAAATCATCTCTCTTAAGTTCAAAGTTCCAGAGATCCCTAGAGCAAGGGAACAATGCATGCAATCTCTTTGCTAAAGCATAACAAAAGTGACTACTGGAGTTCTCAATAAGTTCCTCATCTCCATATGAGACTTCCTCAGCCTGGACTTCATTTTCCATGTCACTACCAGCATTTTGGTTACAACCATTTAATAAATCTCTGGGAAGTTCCAAAATTCCTCTGATCTTCCTGTCTTCTTCTGAGCCCTCCATACTCTTTGAACCTCTTCCTATTTCCCAGTTCCAAAATTGCTTTCATATTTTCAAGTATCTTTGTATCTTTGTAGTAATACCCCACTCCTGGTACCAGTTATCTGTATTACTATTTTCTCACACTCTTATAATACAAAAACAAATACCTGAAACTGAGTAATTTTTAAAGAAAAGAGGCTTAATTGTCTCATGGTTGACAGGTTGTTTAGGCAGTTTGGTAGCATCTGCCTCTGGGCGGCCTCAGGAATCTTGTACTCATGGCAAAAGGCAAAGTAGGAGCAGGTGTCTTACATGGGAGGAGCAGGACATGTCTTACATGGGAGGTATCTTATATGGGAAGAGTAGAAGAAAGAGAGAGAGGGGAGGTGTTACACACTTTTAAACAACCTGATCTTGCAAAAACTCGTTCATTGTCGTCGCGACAGTATCGTGACAGTACCAAGAGGAATGGTGTTAAACCATTCATGAAGGATCCACCCCCATAATTCAGTCACCTCCCACCAGGCCTCACCCCCAACATTGGAGATTACAATTCAAAATGAGATTTTAGGGGACACAGATCCAAACCATATCAAGGCTATTTCTCTTTCTTATCATTTGTGTGTTCACTGGAGAAGAAGTTTTTATTTTCTTCAAGAACTTTTCATTTGCATTTACAACCTGGCCAACTGTTTGGTTTAAGAGGCTTACCTTTTGGCCTGTTGTGGCTTTCAATGTGCCGTCCTCACTAAACTTAATCATTTCTAGTTTTTTGTTTAATGTGAGAGATGGGTGATTCTTCCTTCTTAAACATTTAGAAGCCATTATAGGGTTACTAACCGGCCTGATTTTAGTATGGTTCTTTCTTAGGGAATAGGAAGTGGGGGGGGGGGGGAGGGAGGGGGTGGAGAGAGAGAGAGAGAGAGAGAGAAAGAGAGAGAAAGAGAGAAAGAGAAATGTATGCTGGTCAGTGGAGTAGTCAGAACACACACAACATTTGTCTGTTAAATTTGCCTTCTCAGCCAGATGCATTGGCTCACACCTGTAATTCCAGCACTCTGGGAGGCTGAGGCAGGAGGATTATTTGAGTCCAGGAGGTTGAGACTAGCCTGGGCAATGTGGTGAAACCCTGTCTCTACAAAATACACAAAAATTAGTTGGGTGTATTGATGCACACCTGTAGTCACAGCTACTTGGGAGGCTGAGGTGGGAGGATTGCTTGAGCCCAGGAGTTGAGGCTGCAGTGAGCTGTATTTGCACCACTGCACACCAGCCTGTGCAATAGCATGAGACCTTGTCTCACACACATAAAAAATTACTGTCTTATGTGGTTAGGTTTGTGATGCCCCAAAACAATTTATAATAGTGACATCCCCTGATTACAGATCACCATAACAAATATAATAATAATGGAAAAGTTTGAAATATTGTAGGAATTACCAAAACATGACACAGAAACCCAAAGTGAGCACATGCTGTTGGAAAAATGGCACTGATAGACTTGCTTGATGCATGATTTTCACAAACCTTAAATTTGTTTTAAAAAAAAGCCTCAGACAAAAAAATACAGTATCTATAAAACATAATAAAGCAAAGCACAGTAAAATGAGGTATGCTTGTAATGTTTAATACTGTTAGTGTATAGGGAGAGTAAGCATGATTATAGCTAATAAAACATCATTTTGTAAACACCTGTAATTCTAATTTCTATGACTCTCTAAAAATAGAACTTTGTGAGACAATCATTAGCCCTTGAGGCAAAGCCTAGTGCATAGGAAGTGTTCAAAACTTTTTGTGAGTGAGTGAATAAAGGGAAGCATTTGTGAGTATGTGAGCTTTAACACCTCCTTTCACTGCCAGTGCAATTTCTTGTGATTCTAATATGTAACAACAACAACAAAAAGTATTCTGGCCAGGTGTGGTGGCTCACACCTGTAATCCCAGTACTTTGGGAGGCTGAGGTAGGCAGATCATGAGGTTATGAGATCGAGACCATCCCAGCTAACACGGTGAAACCCCATCTCTACTAAAAATACAAAAAATTAGCCGGGCATGGTGGCATGTGGCTGTAGTCCCTGGTGGCTACTTGAGAGGCTGAGACAGGAGAAGCGTAGAGGCAGAGGTAGCAGTGAGCTGAGACTGCACCACTGCACTCCAGCCTCAGTGACAGAGCGAGACTCTGTCTCAAAAAAAAAAAAAGGATTCTTCCTTTACTATTCCCTGTTGCCTTACTTGGGTATACTTAGCTTTATGCTGAGAGAACACACATGCTTACAACTAGAGGAATAATCACAGGTACAATGTCCACAATACATTTCTGTGGAAATTTTTGTAATATGGGTTGCATTGGTAGGAACCCAGTCTCATGTGGGATAGCTACAGCACCTCAGATACTCTCCTTCACTGATGCCATCTGCCCAATCCTGTTTCTGTGGTTTGCGTTTGATGCAGCTATTGGAGCTACTCTCTTGGTCACTTGCTTCCCCAACTTCTGAAATGCCTTTAAAGCTTAATCACATGGCTAATTGGCTGCCACTGTTGATCACGGCCAGTTGGCCTAGCATCACAAATGTATCACTATTGGCCTTGATTATCTTCGAAGTGGTTTTCTTTCTGATATGAGCCTCTTTCACTCTAATATAGGATAGTAGTTAGGAGCATGGTGTCTTGATTCAGAACTAGGTATGTTGTCCTCCTGGGTCAGCCAGTTACTACTTGTGCTTTGAAATTATAGGCAAGTTATTATACCTCACTGTAAACATCTCAGATTTCTCATCTGTTAAATGGGAAGACAAGTAGTGGTCCCATCTTAAGGGATTTGTATTGATCTTTGCTCTAGGTATGTAATGTACACTTCCATCTGCGGGAAAGGTCTGTGACTATTGCCACCAACCTGCACAGGGATCTGGGCAAAAATGAGGAAGACTTTAACACAAAGCTGGGACAGTGTTTAATTATTCATCTGCCACCCTGCCTCTGATTATCTGTACCCAGTAGAGGGTGAGCATCCCTCTCTTGTGACTTGCTGACTTGTCAAGAATTTCAGGTCACTCTTTCTACCCACATGCCAGTATCCAATTAAGCTCTTGAGAGCCTGTGATCATTATGACAAAAATGTTCATTCTGGAAAAGTTTGAAAAAGCTTTCTGGTTAGAATGAGATTTTTGGCATGTTTTAACTGTGGTCTTTGGCTATAAATTCCTGAAATGCTGACATAGTTGAATTTATTTTTGCTTTAAACAAAATTGTTAACATTTCCAAGTGTCCATATGGGCCCGATAAATACTTTGCCTCTGCTTACTGCACATGTGAACTGGGTGAAGAGGAACCATCATGATGTGGGGAATCCTGAGCATTTTTCTTCATTTAGCTTGACGGGGAAATGAACTGGAAATATTTCTTTGTCAACATAATTTTGGGGTTTCAAAATTGTGTTTGGGTTTTCAGGAAATTGGTGGTAACTTTATATTAGCTGAAAAAAGTGAATTTAAAACTTCTCAGTAAAGAGGCAAATGATTTATTTTTCATAGGAGAAGTTGCTTTTTCAAGGGAATTTGCTGCCAAGCTGTCTGCAGTGGCTTCAGACATTACTTGGCCTTTTGGCATATCAAGAAATTGTGGGTTTTTTTGGTCTAAATATTAAATACATATTTTAGGAAGGCTGGGTATTCTGTGGTATATAGTACAAGAGCAGCAGAGAGAGTCAGCCTTGTGAATTTTCACATT